TAATATATTATATAATATATAATAGTAAAAATTTTCGCCTGCCCGCAAAATCTTTTCGCGTGTCATGGATTTGCCATCCCTGTTATTGTATAATATAAAATAAACAGATTGATAACAATGCGGGCACTATGATTAGCGGCAACGATTAGCGGAAGGTTACTTCCACACGCGCATGCAAAGTCAAACTACACTGTTGTGAGGAATATGATTTGGTTATATTTTTTTCGAAAAGAATCAATTTTTTGCCAATCAGACTGGTTTCCTTGGTCATCGGATAAAACTTCTAAAAACATAGTTAAATTAGTCATGAAGTTTACTTGAAATCAACTTTTTTATATTTTCAAATTATTTTATCAATTTCATATTATTCACATTATAAATTTATTATTATTTGATTTTAAAATAAAATTTTTAAGGGTATAAAAATAATAATTCAAAAAAGTAAAAAAGTCGTTTTCAAGTCAACTTCATGACGAATTTAAATATGTTTTTATGAGTCTTACCCGATCATTAGGCAGATCAGTGCAATTGGCAGAATATAGGTATATTATGATAGAAAACTTAACCCGGATCAAATCCCCTTAATGGAATATTATTTAAATAAAGCCCGAACGAGGCGAATGTAAAATCACCCAACAGAAAGCAAAGTTTACAACTATGTTGCGGGGTTATCGCAGTGTGTCAAATGGTCCTGAAACGTTTCCGTTGGTCGTACGAGATTTCTTATGCCGCGGTCTATGGCCTCCGTCACAACATCTCTTATTTCCCACAAAGTCCACGAGATTCCACCGGGACTGGTTGTCTGCTGGGTTGTACGCGCGACCGCCAACTCCACCGTGGGCGACGCATGTTCGGAATTATGAAACGACCTCCGAATGCAGGGCGCAATGCTCAGTAGCAGTTTGGACGAGCCCGTTGACTGCTGCCGGATATCAGACCATTTCGAGAAATTCAGTTTCGTCAAAAATGGGAATCTGGACTCTATAAGTAGAAGATAATTTATGTACACACACGCGAGTCATATTGATCATGCACTGAACTCAAAAACTGTCCTGGGTTCCAGTATACCACAGGGATAGGGGAATATAATTATTATAATACTCAAAATCCGGTCCTATTAGTAAAAATATTACTATAACTTAAATGATAGCATAAATAAAATTATGCGCTGACAGATGGACGAATAAAGACGAAACAGGTTAATACTCCAATTTCACCAATACGAGGGTTATCTCAGTGGTGAATATATGGATTTTATAGTTTATAGTTAAAACTTAATTTAATTTATACATATTACTATTCTTCAAAATTTTCAAACTCTGTTTCTGGCCAAATAAATTATTATTTCTTATTATTATATATTCAAATTTCAATAACAACATAATGAGTTCAAAAATGAAATTTATTTTGCATATTTTCTCAAATTATTAAATACTATAATATTATACATTATTATATAGCTGTTAAAAGAAACTTATTGCGATATATATATATATATATAAATTAGTTGAAGAGAGTCATTTGAGATATTTATTTTCATACGAATATATTATGCTATATTACTTGGTATAATACCATTATACCGGTAACATAATATATAATATAATATATGTTATTTTTAAATATGTATCAAAAAATACTACGGAATACATTTTAAACATTTTTATTTAGAACCCTATAATACCGGAACCCGAACCATTTATTAAAATAATTGAGAACAGGAGTACCAGTCCTTGCTTTAATATTGGTTTTTGGATTAATAAAAATACAACTTCAATGAAATTTATTTAATATTAAATTAATTTATCTGATAAAAAAAAAATTGAACACGGTGTAGAAAGGGCAATGTTTTCATTTTTCGTGTTTTTTTTTCAACATTTTCACGCCCCCCTGAAATTTTGTGACGCCTCCCTAGGGGGCGCGCCCCCAGGTTGAGAAACACTAAATCATTTATTTGATTCGATTCAGAAAATCAACAACCCACTTTTTGGCTGCTCACTTAAAGATCTCACTTTAATAAATTAAAAAAAATGGTTTTTATTCCGAATTTATTTTTAAGTGTATGACGTGCAACAAATTAAAAGTCATAACAACCGAATGTAATAATTCTTCGTCGGTGTGCACAGTGCTCGAATTGGGAAAAATTAAGTAGAGGATTTCAGTCCAACGATTTGAAAACTGCGTTCCATGTGCGCAATTATTTAACACAGACCCGTGGGGGGTTTTGTCCCTGACCCCCCTTCCGCCAACCTTACATATATTTTGAATGCCACTTTTCAGCTAAACTAAAATTTAAATTCCAAGTAGAATATATTTTGATAGCAATACCAACATCCTACATGTTACAATAGAAAATAAAAATAAAATAATAATTAACATAATTGTAGGCGATCAGGCAGTCTCATGAATAAATAATACAGGGTGCGGCAGTAAAATCCGACGACTTGAAAAAATAAAAAAAAATAGAAATTTTTTTTTTATTAATTTTTCACCAAACAAATAAAAAGTACACAAGTGGAATTTTATGTTATATATTTAAAAACTTCATTTTTTTAACTTCATTTTAACGTTGTGAAGTGTTTCCAAGGTTATGTTGTTGATTTCAAGGCAAATTTGCTCCTTCAAGGCAAAAATAGTCTTTGGTGGGTTGTTTTCGAACACCTTGGATTTCACATAACCCCAAAAAAAAAAAAAAATCAGGAGCCGTCAAGTCCGATGAACGAGTTAGGCGTGGGAAGCTTCGGTGTCAGACTCTCACAATGTGTGGCTAACCAAGTAAGGCATTTGCCCGACACAATCTTTAAAAAATTAAGTTTTTAAATATATAACATAAAATTCCACTTGTGTACTTTTTATTTGTTCGGTGAAAAATTAATAAAAAAAATGTTTTCTAATTTTTTTTTATTTTTTAAAATCGTCGGATTTTACTGCTGCACCTGTATAATCATATATTTGATTTTTGTTTTTATTTATTTTTACCATTGATTATAGAATAGAAAAAATAACACTTGAGCTCTTTTTATAAATTTAAAACATTTATTTACCCGATTTAATTATCCAAATTTCTCTTCTTTCATCATTGGGAAAACGGAAAAAACTTAAGTTTGGAAATGTTTTCTTCGACTTTCCACAAGTTAAAAATTGGCACTTGTTACCAGACATTTTTAAAATTACTCACAAGACGTAAAAGTAATAAAAAATAAAGTACCTAACAAACAACAATAAGGCAAAATACTTAGAATATAAAACAAGCAAGACCTTTTTTCATTGACAAGTGACACCTGCAGAGAAGAATACTTACGTGAAGACTAATCGTAATTCGTATGTTCACAGAGTAAACAGTAAAATATTGACGAAATAATGATAATAAAATAATAATCGCTAATTTTATCGGTTATAATGGGAATAAATATAATGGTACTTCAATTTTTCATTTTACATGAAAATAATTCTATAAATAGAACGACGGTATTTTTCGCCGACCCTGCGTGATTGCCTTCCCGTCTTCATGACTATCTATGAGAGAGGTACCACCTCCTTGCATCCCAGCGACGCCAGCGCTCCATAGCGGTTGCATCCTACGAGTAGTCGCCAAATATTAACATTGCGTTGACTATCTATCTATTCTATAATCAATGGTAAAACTATGATAAATATTGAAATATATATTATATAAAAATAAATAAAATATAATAAAGCAAAATTATAAATCTGTATTAAAAGTGGGTAGACATTGTCTCCTATGACGCTTCGCCACTGGTTATCAGAATCACGATACAAAAACTAAATTATTCACCGATGGATTTGTCATGGAATAAATATTGTTTTTTGTGAAAACGGATAAAATTCAATAATAATATCCATATATCGATAATTAGCTATGGGGTATAATAAATAACAATACATCCGCAGTTAGGTCAACGGTTTGGTTGCGAACGCCTGATCAATATAATATGAAACTAATAAATTCGACCAGTATCGATCATATATAATCTAATAATATTATATAACAGTATCGAACTCCCAGTATGTAAAAATTTAATGCATCTTTGACATTCATCTATAAGAGTCAAATTAGTGATATCTTACTTCTTTGCATACATGGTCATTTTCTGTGTAGTCAATCTTAAAGATTTCTTATAAGCCATTAATTATGTAGATTTAAAAAAAAACCAATGCAAACATAACTAATTAAAGGAACAAATGCATCGATCTACTTTAAAACTATTATTCTAGCGTGATATAGTGAGTACACAATATTTAACGATTTATTATGTGAGGTCTTATGAGATATATATATATATATATATATATATTTATATATACATGGTCATCATCAAATAATTAATTATAATGAATATTAATAATAATAATAATAATATTAATAATTTTAACGGAAACAGTTGATGCTGCAATTTAGATATTTTACTTGAAATGTTGTTTTAGTGCTTTTCTGACAAGAAATACATTGTACGCAACTGAATTTTTAGGGTCGTAGAGAATATGAAGAGCTTGTATACAAAGCCGTATCGAGTCATTTTTTATCCTGAAGCAGAACTGAAGCAATGCGACCCCTAATTTGTAGGGTTGTCATACTAACAGCTTTTAATATGCATAATACGATTAGGAAAAATTGTAACTAGGTTTCTAGTAAAACAAGAATTTTTTGTAACAAAATTTGTAATGATGTCGATTAATTTTTTATGTCTCACGAAATTCTAAGAACGAAAGTTTCATTTATATTTTCAAATTAAAACCCATTACTACATGCATCTTATTATTATATTTCAATATCTTTAATTATTTTTAACTTAAAATACTTATTTATTTTCTTTTTTTTTCTCACTTCCAATTTTTTAGTTGTTAAAAGTATTATTATATTCTGTATATAAAAGAATAGTCCTGTTAAATGTTAAATAAATAAATAATAAAATTGTTATTTTAAATTTATTTATTTATTTATTTTTTTTTTTTTTTGTTAAAGTTAAATAACAATAAATATGGATCCTGAGCTGAAAAAAAAGGTGGAACAGTCAATATTTCCTACTCCAGGTTCTTGGAAATCCAGAGGTAGTGAAAAAGAAATTGCAGACATGGAGTCAGTACTAACACGTAAAAAGGTGAATAAAATATATACGTTTGCCATTATACAATAAATTGCCTGGTAAAATGTGTTTATATAAATCGTAGAGTCACATATTAATATAAATTTTTTTTACGAACAGCCAACGTAATATGTATTATCAAAGTTTTGAATTATTTTTTTCTTTGTTAAGTTCAAGTAAATCACACATTGCGTAAAATAACAGAATAAAGAAGTTATTATTAAGAATAAAAAAAATATTATTATAAATCCATAGATAACCTGTAAATGGGAACTTTCCAAAGAGAGGCTTCAAAGAAAAGCAAAGTTTGATCATTCAAATTCAAAATCAATGAAAAATCAATACGTGAGCTTAGAACCACTTCCTAAAGAAAAATTTGAGTGTATTAATGTATTAATAAGGGATGCAAGCGTTCAAGTAATTTATTTATTTACTTCAAATACTATATCCGTTTTAATGTATTTAAACATTGATTTCAATTCTTTCATACATCATAGTAAATACAAAGTAGTATACTTAAATAACAAATAATACGTATCAGTTTAAATATTATAATATGAGATTTTAATATTAAAATAATTTAACAAATATTTAATTAAAACTTTAATATTTAATAAATAATTGTTGTGTTAAATTATAAACTATTATATAATATATAAGTATAAAATTATTAATTCATAAATTAAAATGTATAAATTATATCTTAATATCTTTAGTAAAAATAATAAATTATAGTTTAAGTTCCAATAAGTACAAAAATATAATATAAAATAATTTTTATTTCGGAGAAATTATACAGCATTGTTAGCTACATAAATAATTCGTCCATATGTTTCTGTAATAAAATAATGTCGAATTTACAATGATAAGCCAGTTAATAAAATACAAAAGAAATAGAAAATGTATTTATTTATTTTATAGACTACAGGAAAAATGGCCAATATGGAAACACAAACTGATGTACAAATCAAAGTTAATAATTGTATTGAGTCCATTGCTGTAAAAGAAGAATTATTTCAGTTGCAAAGTCTTCCTAATTTAAATGATAAGCTAAAGGATTTTTTAAAAAAACATGTACCCAAGTACTTATATACTGCGTTATCTATACCTATATAAGAATCGTAAATTATTTTTAAATTATACTACAATAAGCTCACACGCCACTCTAAACTCTCCGATGGTTGTAGAACTTGATTTTGTATTGCTACAATTCAAATGTTTCTTATTTAATATCTTAGCACCCATATTTTAGTTATTACACATTTATTGAATACTTACTAAAGACTGTTAATTAAAATTAATTTTTTACATTTAGTTTAATAGAGCAGCTGCAATCTAATATGTTGTACGATTTATTGCGTAATGATTATAAAGAATTAAAAAATAAAAATAAAAATTCAATTTCTAAACTTACTAAAGACATAAAATCGATTCACTTTTATAAGACTCCAGCGTCTAAAAAACAATCTGTGTCTTGCCACACTTGGCATCCTACTATACCAGGTGTGAACTAAATCAATAAGCTTATAAATTAACATATTATCAAGTATAATATATTTAGACCATAGGTTCTTAACCGGAGTTCCATGGCTATGAGGTTTTTTTAAATAGGCCAAAAATAAATTTGTTTGGATAGCATTTTTAAGATAATAATAATTGTTGAAAGACTTGAAAGCCACTTGAAAGATAACAATGTTTTTAAATATAAAACTTAGATTACGATAATCTTATATGCCATATAAAGTTATCATAATAGTAAAATAATATAACATGATAATACAATCTAACGAGCATTTCATTTTAACACGGAAACCTATCACTTTTGTTGACCCGTCGTCGTATAATAAAAATTATATTTATTTATTTATATATATGTATTTTTTTTGAAGGGGGGATCCGTGATTATAATTTATGTTTTAAAGGGGTCCATGGCCAATAAAAGGTTAAGAATCTATGATTTAGATGGTTAGTAAAATTTCCTTTGTGTACTCGAAAAATACTCAGGTGTTTTTGCAATATCCTACATGGCGAATAGTAATGCGGTAAAAAAAACTATTAACCTTGATTCAGTTGAAGTAGTTATCGAATCAAACATCAAATATATGGATTGCTTTTGTGATATTGACAACAAAAAGTTATCGCACAAGAAGAAAAATACTAAAAAAATTAAAGTTATTGAAAACTATGACGATTCTATGATTAAACAAGCAAATACTCCACAGTTATCAGACGAATATTTCGTCAATATTTGGTCGATTGATGATAAGATGTTTCCAAAGGTATTTAAATAGGTGTTGATTTAAAATATGTTTTATAAATATATTAGTTATTTATATACATGTTGATTGATATATGTTATATTATATTGTGTAACAATTAACATATATTTTACGTTCTATGAAAATAACATTTTTCTATAACTCGCTTGTTTTTAGTTGACATTGTCAAGTCCCGAAGAAGTATGTTGTGTTAAATTTAACCCTAGAAATGGTAACACCGTCGTTGGAGGGTTAATGAATGGACAGATATGCATATGGGACATTAGTGGAAAACTGGATAAGATGGATTCGAATAATTTTATAATGTCAAATAATGAAAAAAAGCACCACAGGCATCTTGTAAAATTTATCTTAATTCAATTGTATCTTATGTTCTTACTATGTTATTCCGATAACAGATGAAATCATTTTTTTTTTTTTTTTTATAGTGGATACACATGCAACAAATGTTGACATTCGTAGAATCAGTTGGTACTAAAATCAGAGCAACAGCACTAAGTGCCGTTTTTGAATCACATGATTCAATGGTGACTGAAATTCAATGGATTCATCCTATGAACGAAGTTAGTTAAATTGAAATATACAATAATAGCACAATAATATACGTAATTGTAAGTATAAAAACTGCAAAATTACATTGCATTGAAGTTCGATACACTCATAACTTGACTACTTATTCGACTATTGTACATACTTCTGTGGTTATAAATAACCGTTTAAATTAAAAACCTGAAAGATATTCTGATTTTTACTCAGAATCTTAATTATATTAATTTTTTCGTAATTATCTTTATTAAAAATAAACCAATTTTAACAATTACTATTTTCATATGGATGTAAATTCATATTAGTTAATCATTAAAATATCACACAAATATTAACAACATATTTTGAAGCATATAAGAATACTAAAAATTCTACTAATAAAAGTTTTAAGTATGACAATAACAGGTACGTATTTTTATTTGTATTTTTGTTGAGTGGTGGGTAAGAGAGATCGTCCCCTACAAAGATCGTATTTAAGTGACCACGAATTAAGATATATAGTATACACTATTTAATTGCACAATTTTTAAGCCCTAATAATGTAGAAAATTAATCTCCCCTCCCCCCCTCAAAAAAAAAATAAAATTAAAAAAATAAGCACCTATTTACGTGCCTGGACAACAAATTTTTATTTAATTATCAACCATGAGACACGATATTATCTGATATATTACCATATGTACAGTATAGATATTAGGTACACTATGAGCTTAATAAAAGTGTAAAATTATATTTTAAAGTTTTAGTAGGTACATCAAAATACATAGAATAAATAGAAGTTTTTTTAGGTAACATCATTGGGTAAATTAGTGGCTGTGAAAGAAGAACAATTTTCAGATCAATTTTTTTCTGCTTCCTCGGACGGTACTATAAAACTTTGGGACTTGAAATCAACACCTATGCCCGAATCAGAGAAAAAGATTCCAAAGAACACTCGTTTTCCGCATCCAGCTAAGTTGGACAGTCATAAATCGTGGTTAAGAATTTACAACAACCGTCTTAAGCCTTTGTATACGGTTAGTGTTGCGTATATATGTTATAGCTAGTATCCGAAATTTAATTTAAATTATATGGCCAACACTATTAAGTCATTAGTCGAAATCGGTTGTTAATTTAACAATATTACACATTGCTATATTACATAACTTATTCATTTTATTGAATAGTGTCAATGAATATTTGAACTAATATACTGGGCGACATAAATGTCGTATAGTAAATACTTTTTGCTGCCTAAAAAATGATATATTTAATTACTGAGCGGCAACAATGTTTTGGCAAAATTAAGATATTAGTAATTATTTTATAATTTTATTTTGTAGTGATTTATTACACTTGATTTTGTTATTTGTTTATAATTTTGTTTGATGATTTGAAGTTAAAAAACTCGGACAGGATAGTGTAATTTTACTGTATTAGATTTGAATGCAATGATTGCATTCGATAAAAAACGATTCTGAGCGGACGAGGGAATCTTTTTACTTAATTTTATTTGTTTCTATATTGATAAATAAAGCGTTTTAAGAATAGCTTAAGAACGATTTATATCAATATATAATTTATATAATTATAATTAGGAAATATCATAAAAACGAAAAAAAATATAAAATAAAAGAAAAAGCTCGAAATTCGCTTAAATGTTTTGAAAATTTTACCATGTCTAGGTAGGGATAATATAAATAAATAACTCAAATTTCAAGTTTTATAAATGAGTTAACCGAATTACAACAAAAAAAACTTTCGAAGTTAAAATGTCTATAAATAACTCAAAAATGGCTAAAATTTTCCGAAATTAGCCTTAAAACCGTAAGAAGAAAATCTAAAATACAACAAAAAAGATCTCTTGTCATTTTTAATTTGAAGCAATATTTCTGGTAGATAGAATATAACTAAAAATAGTTCCTATCCTCTAATGCGATTAATGTAAGATTCTGAAACTCGACGATATTGTGTCACAAAAAACTGTTCGATCACAAATATTTCTTACGTATGTGCAGAAATGGAACTTTAACATTAGACTATGAAAATCCATTTATATTTATTTGCTTTTTCTGTTTGTATATATTTTAGTTAAAAATCGTGCACCCAGAGACTGACATGTGCATTCCTATTACCGCAATGTCTTTTGAGATTCCTTTAATGCAGTATGTGAATACTTCCAATCAGCCATTAATTATTGGAACGCGGCAATTCGAATACGGTAAAAATATTTGTAAATATCAACACAATATAGTCTCATCACAGTATTCCCATTACACATGATACGTAAACACGTATCAAATGGAAGTCCCTAAAAATTTTTTTCTCAATATTTATATGACTATAATTAATTTAATTAAATAACAACAACACAAAATTAAAAAATATTCATAAAAGCAAAAAAAAAAAAAAAAAATAACAAAACAGACAATTTTAAATTTTTGGTTTAAAAAGCCCCGGTACATCGCACCCCTACACATCTGCTTAATCTGACACTGGATGTAGGTACCTTATGGGAAAATGTTTTGTTACAGCACCAATAGCACCGAGTGAACCAAACCGCATTTTTGTCGTTGGTAATATTTTTGGCCAGGTCGGAGTTGTCACTTGGAATGGTTACGATAAATACGAGCCGGATCATAACAAAGAAAGTATGTTACGTATACATGATATTTGATATATCGATAATAATACATTTGTAAAAATGATAAATTTACAGAATGTAAAAATATTTGGTGGGGACATGTACACGAGGGACCAATTACCTGCATAATTAGAAATGTCTTTTATCCAGACATACATTTGGTCAGCGGTGGACACGTGGTGTCCATTTGGAGTGTAAACTACGAAGTAAATTTTAACAGTACATCATTATAAAAATAAAATACATAAATAATATGCATGCATTGTTTACGTTACTCAGTTTTTATAGATGTATTTAAACACTAGAATATTATCATAAAATATTGGTTATAATTTATTCCCCATTTTAAATACTTCAATCACATAATATCTTACCTACTTTGGGCGTGGATTCAGAGGGGCTAGTTGGCCGTATTAAAATGTTTCATTTAATTTGTTGATTTTGTTGATTATTAAATTGCAATATTTTTGTAGTATTATTACAACATTGTAAGTTACAAATTACTCTTTAATAATAAAAAATAAATATATTGTTCTTAACAATATTATTATCTATTATCAGCGACGAAAATCGCTAGCCGATAGCTTAGGACTTGTCCTAAAAATAATAACATTTTAATTTTGTTTGCAAATATTTATATCTTCCATATATCTGATTGTCTGGAATATATCTATATTTTTTACTTATGTTAATCAGCACTATACCTAATAATAAAATTGTTACCTATGTTGAGTGTTGATGGTCGATAGTATACTTTAACGTTTTAAATTTCAATATTTATATTTTTGTGAAAATTTCAAAATGTATTTTATAAGAAAAAGATTAATTTTAAATTGCAATCAACAATAATTGAATAAAGAAATTCAATGCAGTTAATGAAAAGAAGTTTACATTAAAAAATATAAGGAATCGCATTATTTACTAATTCATATATATATATTGTTTATTTTATATAAGAAAATAAGTAAATCGGTATTTACTAGTATCAGAATAAGTATACTTATATAACCCGCCCTCCCGTTGATGTAGTTGGATCTGCGTCTGGCCTACTTACAATTTCGGCATTTATTAAACGAACAATTCAAAATAATTTTATCCATTTAAGTTAATGTTTTACCTACTTAAGGATGGCCCAATTTGGTGGAAGCGATTCACAGATATTCCAAACAGCGTACTTTGGTCCAATAATCACCCAGCGGAATTTCGAGTATCTTTCAACACGAGCGGCGTTCTACAGTTTTGGAACTTCATGAAATATTATAACATGCCTTATTATGAGTTGAATGACATTTATGTAACTAATGACAGATTCAAAGGAAGTAAGCTCTTTTAATAATATATTATATACTGAATAAATTTATTTTTCACTTTTATCTACAATTTTATTGGGCCTTAATTGTTACATTATGTTGCATTTAATCGCAGCATTATCAACTCCAAATCCATCAGTACATTACATCAAAGTGGAAGAACTACAATACTCACAAGGTATAAGTGAAGTACTTGATTACAAGATAAATGAGACTATCGCCTTCTCGGATACTAACGGGATGATCTCTGTAATCACTGTAGACACAACAGTACCAAAAAAAGATGAAATCGAAGAAGTGGGCAACTTATTTCGGAAAGTCGTAGATGCGAGACACGAAGTGGATATGTGGAATAAAAACTATATAGAATTATTAAAAGAAAATGACATCAAAAACGCAAAAAAAGTAGTTTTTTTAATTTGATATTGTTATTATTTTTCCTTGTATTATAGATAACTAATTTTCTATTCATAAAAATAGATATATAAAATTTTTTATGTATAGATGCTGGATAATGAATCAAAAAAATGTGCTGACACGGAAGAAATGAAACAAATATTAGATGACTTAGACAGTTTTGAAGTGGACTATGAAAATGAAAAAGAAAAACTTATTAATTGGATTCAAAACAATCCTGTGAAGGAGCTAGAGTGGGAAAAAATAATTGAGCTTGAGGCAGTTGAAGATGAAGACTTTAAAAATAATATTTTAAAAATTTCAACAATGAAAAAATTAGTAGCCAAATATAACAAATAGATGTTAGTAATGTGTTTACTAATAGAAATAATTTTGACAGGAAAAAAGGATTATATATTACATAGGATTATATTACTAAGAACAGCATTTTTGTAAATATCAGATTAAATTTTTTAAAACAGTATTTTAATTTTAAATAATTACATTTATTATACATAATAAATATTGAAAGAATATAACTAACCAAATTTAAATTTAATTAATTTGTATTGAAAAATAAACATTTTAAACTATAATACGTAAAATACACATAAAAAGTATAAACAAATTCTAACAAAATTATACATTTCAATAATTATGAATTAATAATAATTTGGTTCAGTATCACTCTTCAGTCATAATAACTGGTATACCTCGAGCAATTAAAGCAGCATAGTTAAAAAAGCTTCTGGTGGTTTTTCTGGCAATTGCTAATGTACGCAAAAGTTCTCTTTCCTTATGATAATCGACATGATCCAAAAATTCTTTAGGCCATAATTCTGAAACATTATTATTTGAATAAAGTTTAAAGACATTTTGTTTAAATATTTTTAAAAATACAGTATTTTGAGTTAACCATAGATAACAGAGAAAACTGAACTAAATCAATTGCCAATTTTTAATTATTATAATTATTTTTTCGCATTTGAATACATAAAAAAATCAATAACAGTACATTAGAAATCTATTGATAATACCAAATATTAGAATTTATATGTCAAATAATGATTTGAAAACAATATATTTAAACTTGAAATAAATTGATTCAACATTTATAGTATATATATATAATTAGCCAATATTATATACCTATACGTATAAAAATAGATTTCTGTCTATTTGTATATCCTTTATGCATTCCTAAACAGCTGGACCGATTGCGACAAAATTTGGTACAGAGATATATTAGACATATAAGCAAAAGATAGCCTCAGTTAAAAATAATAGGTCCAACCCCAGGAGGTGCTCAGACATTTTGAGATTTACAATGGACATTTTTGTTTATAGATAGTTGCTATTAGTTCCAATAATAATAATAATTAGTGTGAAAGAAATTATTATCCCTGAAATTGTTATTATTTTTCATTATAAATATCATTCAATTGAATAATTGAATTGTAAAAATTTTTTCGATAAAACAAATAAAATTACATAATGATAAACTAAATTAAATATTGTTGTAAGATTATTATGTAGTATACTTTAACCGTTATCTATCTATATGTATAAAAATATACTGCTAGCATAATCACAAATAATTAATTTAACACACAGTTTGAGACATATAAGAGGTTGAATTCTTAACGGGCTACGAAGTGCGAGAGTTCAGCTAATATATATTACATAATATAGATACAAGCACTAATAATCATTGTCTCATTTCTAAGTTGATCAATCATTATAAAGCATTAGAAGTACCTTTAGGTAGAGTTTAGGGTGAGTACTAAATTATGTCATTTTAAAGAAAAACATTATAAAGCATACAATTGTTCTAAGTTAAGTTTTTACACAGATAATTCAGGTAGAATTCTACCAGTCCTGGTAGATATATGAAAGAGCAAGTATTGTACATTTTGTTGGTGTTATACATCATTCCAGTAAGAATAAATTAAGTAATTAGAGTTATAATAATAATAATAATAATAATAAATAATTAGTTAAAAATGTTTTTCTGGAAAATAAAGATTAGAAATACTAAAACTTACCCCTTTAAAATTTACTTACAGATAAAATAAAATGTCAAACTAAAATTTACTCCAAAAAAGGATAATATAAAATAAATAATTCTTAACATAAAAATATTATACAATTGTATAATAACCAATTTTATCCCAGATTAAATTATAATTTTTTTTTTTTTTGTGACTTACTTTGAAGATCAATTGGATTTCCAGGTAACCAAACATTGAGCATAGCTCTAGCTAAATTGTCAGCATCTAAACTTGTTACATTCCACAACATGCCAATGACACTAGGGCTTAACATTTATATAAATCAATGGTTAATCAAATAAAAATGTTATGTTTTAAATTAATACCAGCCAGCTTTCAAATATCCATAAGAAGCACCCACAAAATTAGCTCTTCCTCCTCTATCAGTGTGTTTAGCACTTGAACATCCAAATAACATTGGTATACAATGGAGATCTAACTTATCTAATTCCAAACTGTGCAAATACTGTGTTCCATTACCATGGCCACAATACCTAAAATAAGACAAAGTATATTAGATAAACATATTAGTAATACTATCACACAATTACTTACAATAAAATATCATTTTGTTTTAATAATGAACTGAACTGTTCTGAAGTAGGCTCTTTACTTAGTATACCTTTCCAACAAACATCTCTTTCTTTTAAGAAGTTTGACATTCTTTTTTCCGCATTTGATAATGTTTTATCTGGATTTAATACATAATACCCTTGGTTTTTAATTTTCCTGAAAATTTATTTCAAAATTGTATACTTATCATAATAAAATATTTTTATAATATTACATTAAACCATTTTGAATAGAATTTTTGTGTTTGGTGTATAGTCTATGTGCTATGTGTATAGATGATATACGAGAAACTGGATGCCTTTTCAAACATGGTATTGTTTCCCATGGTAGACATTCTAAGTGCTTTGAAATAAATTATTAATAAATCAGTATAATTCCTTACAATAATATTTTATAGTATTATACCTCATCCAATACAAGTAAAATAGGATGTCTTTTTTTTAAAATTAAATTTGAATTATTGAATCTATAGTTATTAATAGCAAGTTCAAATTGGTTCTTTTCTTCAGTCAAACAGTTTACTTCACAAATGAGATTATGTATATCAACTTCACTCAGTTGAACAGCAGCATTAGTTATTTGATACAAAATCATTCTATCTCGGGTACTTATAGTTATGTTATTTTGTCTAAAAGAATATATAAATGTAGAGGTATATAAAATTAAATGTATGTAAATAAACTAAATAACATAATAAAATAAAAGACTAACTCTATGACAGTATCGATAACATCATAGACACTAGACCATAAGTTTTCATCTACAAAGTTTCCTAATAACATACAAATCCAGTGTTTCAGCCAACCAGAATGAATTTCTTGAGAAATTACCTATATTATACATTGTTAATAATTACAATGAGAATATTAAAATAGAGAAATAAATTAGTTATTCTGATACAAGTAGATATAAATGACAGATTATGTATCACAAAAATAATACAGTAATAATAAATGATTTACTTCAATTGACTGAGACGCCGAATCTCTTAAAGAACGAAGAGTAGCTTGATTCTTATTTTCTCGGTCATTTGTATCTTCTAAATTTTTTTTTAGTACTTCAAAGATAGTCTTCTGTCCCGAGCAAGATTTTGGTTTATTTACTTTTATAGTCAGAGGTACACTTAGGATATATATATATATATATAAAAACTTTTAGTACTAATATAAAATATAATAATAATCAATAAATTTTAAGTTTCAATTATTTCTTACATATTTTTATATTTTTCACCACATTGGTATCTAGTGATGAAAAGTTCAGAAATTTCGGTAGGTTTATCTGTAGGTCTAGGAGTAACTATTTCTTTAGGGTTATAACTTCTAGAAATTTGTATTAATGTCCATTCAGATGGCATTTTTTTTAAACGCTCAATAAGACCAAGGTATCCTTTGGAAACATACTCAGAGTCTAATGATAAACAATCATCAAGTTCTTTTTCGCAGGAGGCACTATAATATAATAATAATAAATAATAATAATGAGTTTAATAAGAGGCAAGCAGTTAAGTAAAAATGTCTTGAGTATACATCAATTATAAGTAAAAAGGGCGAGTGGGATTAATTTCTATACTAACATCCTATTTTTTTTTGTTTATGAGCAATAAGATTAGCTAACAAAATAAAGATCTTAATTTAAAATAAAAAAAAAATACAATTTAAGACTATTGCAGTAATTTGCTGCAGCGAAATGGCTTTTAAAACTATATTACAGTGCAATAAAATTAAAAATAGATGTGTAAAATGTATAAGTAATAATCGTTCATAATAAACGTGATAACAAGGAAATATGTTTAGTATATTTAATTTCTATGGAAAAAACGGTCAACATTTGTTAATACTGTTTATAGTATAGCTGGTATACCCATATACCTGCGTATCAAAAATTATATTATAAGTATATGCATCAACTAAAAGATTGAGAAGACATTATACTTATACAATGTATACCCGCATATACAGTCCACTACCACTGGTGGCAAGATAATGTGAACACAGAAACATAGTTATTAATTTAGTAACAATTCAAAAATAATTCAGTTACACTTCTAGTACTAACACTATCGTTAAGAACTCACTCAGGATTCACCGTTAACGTTAGTTTCGACCGAATTCCTCCACCATGTGCCTCAGATAGATAGTAGGCCACAGATTCGTAACGTTTCAAACGATAGCTAATATAAGCAGCAGCTTTGTTTGTATCTATATAAAAATAACATGTTAAACTCAGAAGAAAAGGAAAATGATTAACGGACAAGCGATTAATATATATGGAGCACTTACTTTCGTAAACAGGAAATGGAATTAGAGGCATTAATTTGATTTGCGCTAAACTTTCTTCGATCTCGGTCAGAACAGACCGGCACACATCGTCTGTTTTGCTCATGGCGACGTGTGACTTGTGAAGCAAAAAGAAAAGTAGAATCGGACGCGTGGATGCACAGAGTTCGATTAGGCCACTCGGTGTCGAGATTTCGAACAGAACAGATAGTAAATTATACTTAAAAAAAAAACAATTTCGTTCACCTACGATTTCGAACGCTGTAACGAGTAACAATAATGAAGACGCGGGCACCTGCGTCCAATAGGAAACCAACGCGCGCGTTATCATTACTGCAGCTGTGCGATAAGATCGTTTTATGATAAGACTGTAAACAAGAATAGCAACGAGACTGCTGGTCAACCAGTCGGCTAACCCTGTATGAATTTCCATTGAATTCTTCGAATACATGAATTGGAATTTATATGATTGGCTCTTGTTTCGGCGAATACATGTTTAATTTTAAAACAGCTTTTGATCGTTTATCTGATGGCCGCTGTAGTTGACGTTATATTATCATCCCGAGCGCTACCAAGACTATAATTGTCGACTGATCCAGGATTGATTTGTAGTGAGGTCCGTGCAATAGACCTTATTCTAAAACGTTTGCCAATGGATCACATTATATAGTTCTATTCCTTGATCAATGGTACTGCTTGGTGTACGGTTATGATGATTCAGCATGGGAACACGACCCGATGATTACGGATTCACGTTTCAGAAAATACCACGGACTATTGTCATAGGCGTGCCCTGACTTCAACTTCCGGTTGAGCCTGAATACAATTAGTGCCCCAATATTTAGATAGTACCCCTAATTTTTCTCTAACACTTCAACATGGATTCTGTTGTAAATTAAAAACAATGTAGTATTTATATCTATACATAGAATCAAGTATTATATTGCTAATTTTTAGACGTATATTTTTGAAGTTAAAATTAAAACTTTAAATTCTTTAAAATCAAATTATATAAATACAATAAATTGATTTCCACGAACATATTAAAATATACATAGACATGGTAAGTTTAAATTTTACTATGTCCTCAAAAAAATTCCGGTCAAGCTGGGACTAGCCCCGTGCGCACGCCTATGACTATCGTGTTTGGTATCATTGATTTCCGATGGCTAACCAACATTGGGGAATTGGAAAGGTCGATTGTGCAATGCCATAGCGAGAGCACGGGTATCTCCGTCGGAAGACAATTCTGTAAACGCAACGGACCGTGGTCGCTCGCCGGCATGGCGAAAATGTCGCCGGTGATCGTTTAAGCAGTCACAAAAAAGAAAATTGTTCGAAAATGAGCTGTTGCGTTGTCCTACATTATCGTCTGCATTATGAGCGTTAACCCCGGACGGTGAGTGGCCGAGGCCTGAGCTGAAGTCGTGTGTTTGGCAATCCGCGATTACGAGAATAATCGTGTTGAAACCGTACATCGCAAGAAAAATCCTAGTAATAATTATTTATGTTACGCGGCAGCAGGCACATTGGCACATCCCACAACCGTGCGTTCACCTTGCACGACGAGGTGTCACCACCGTAGAGCCAGTACCCAACCTGACACTCGTTGCGCGTTTCACAGGTGCAGTAGGTACCAGTTACCGTCGCCGTTGATTGGTACGCGGCTAGTAGAAGCCCGTAAAACCACTATCTGTAATAACCGTCACTGTTCCACGTTTGTTTTTATCGCGTCCCGTCTCCTCGATATCCTCCTTATCGTCGGTGACGGCTCTCGGGTGCGCGCGCGCGCGTTGGCTAGTGTTCACCGTGTCGTGTAGTGCGTACGTTTATTATTATTTAACAAGTGCAACCTTTTAGCTTGTTTGTTTTTTTATTTCCATCCGTCTTCGACGCACGCCACCAGTCGCACGGACGTACCGTACGCGTTTCGCCGGGTTCGGCGACACACTGACAATAGCGAGCAGTAACAATTTGCGCCGAGCGGTCAGTCGTGTGCGTTCGTCCCGAGTTTGTTGGACGGTTGGTTGGGTATTGAATAACACAATAAAAAAAATTGAAAAATAAACACTTAGGTAGACGGTTTTTCGATTCCGTTTCACAAGTCCGACGGTTTACGTTGTTGCGCTGTCAGCACACACGTATACGCATATATGTATAATTATTACATGTAGCTGGTGGTCGAGTGTACTCCGTTTTGTATTGTTCGATTTTTTTTGCTTTGGACATGTTTTTTGCGTGGAACCGTTTAAGTTGCATTCCATAGTTCTCAACTATTCACTAGCGCGACCAGACAGACTTAATAGACCAGCATCGTCACAAAAGTACCTCAACTATAGCAATATCCAGATAACAATGTTGATGCTGCTCAGCAATGCTTACAAATATACAGCTTCAATAATAAGTATGTGTGTAATGTTAAGCCTATGGTTGATTTGGTTTGCATGTATAATCTATTTGTAATGTATTACAGCGAACTACATCGGGGAGGATGTCAATTTGTGGCTCTGGATGACATGGTTACTGTGGCCGCTCATTGTTACATTTCTATTACCCCTCACTATTGTTCTATTATTCTACATTACCGGTGTTATACTTTATGTGTACAAACTTCACAGGTAAATTAATTTTTAAATTGAATAATTTATCAGTGTTAAATTTATAGTTTATTGAATGTTTTTTAACCTAATGTTTTCAGCATTGGGTATTTTTTCCTTACCAATCATTAATTATTTGGTTGTTCTCAGAATATCTGAGTAAAATACTTTTACATAAAAAATATGATAGGGTTATGAAATATGCTAGTATCATGTTAAATATAAATTAGGGGTATAAAATAAACATCACTATAATTACATTTTTGTATTTATTTTTGACATGTACTATTTATTGATAACTATAATTAATTATTGTTTAAATGATTTTTTTTTTTTTTTGTTATAATTTTGATTCTTGTTTGTTCAGTCTTATCAAACATGTTTTATTTAACTCTATTCAATTTTCAGGTAATGATACCTTATAAGAAAAAAAATATATTAATTATAAACTAACCACCTATAAATCAATGAAAATTAATTATTTTTCTCTATATGATAATCTATAACTTAATTATGAGTAATATTTGATTTGTTGTTTTAATATTTTACTTTTTTTAGTCCTGATTTTGTAGGAAACACGATTTTTTTAATTATAAAATTAGTATAAATAAATAAAAAATTTATCATTAAAAAAAAAAATTATCTATTAAAATATTTCGTGTGCAAGTATGATAAAATATTATAATTACATTATTTGGCAATTCATATTTTTAGTATTTTTAAGTATATAGTTGTGACTTAAGTGTTGGAAGGTAAAACTTTTACAATTGGCTTCCACCACTTGGCTGACTTTCAATTTGTACAATACTACTATTTTTAGGTAATGCATTTTAGTTTAATATTTTTTTTGCCTAATTTATCAATTTATCAGTTATTATAGATTAATAATGTGCTGTATATTCTTCAATTATTATTGTTATTAATATATACCTAGTTTGTAAAATTTTTGCTTGGTATAAAATCTTTTATATATGTATGTATATATATTAGTATAAGGTAATCTTTTACATGAATTAATTTTAGTTATTATCTTATTAATAATTATATATATTATAGTAATAGATAATGCAATGTATTATGTATTATTGAAATTTATTTTCGATAAGGTTAAAGCTTTTACAGTATTTAAGAAAAATAATATGTATCTAAAATGCAATGGTTGTGTAATGTATCACTTGATTAAGATTTTAATGTTATATTTATATACTATGATATGACTATAATTCAAATGTTGACATTATTGCTTATGGTTTTAAGAAATCCATAATAATTATATATTTTATTATGCATCCAATCATTTACTTTTATAATCATAATTTACTATCCTTGAATAGACCATGAGCCAATAAAGGAATGTAATTTTACAAATGTATCATATTCTGCATAAATTTAAAAAAAATCTAACAAATAAAATAGTTATAGGATGTTGAGTATTTACCAGTTATAAATAGTTTGGTTATATAGATTTAATTGTTTTACTAGGAATATTAATAATTATTTTAATTATTTTTTTTATTTCATAATTTTAAATTTTGAGTGAAAAATCCGAATGTAATCGTTTTACTGTGATATGTATGTGTTTTATTTTTTGATCAGTGTATATGATTTTAACCAAAAGGATTGCTCTGATCATCACAATCATAGGAGGTTATTGATAAGATATGAAGTTTAGTTAGTATTGTTGAGGTGGTATTATTTTGAATTTCTCAGCGGTTTTCTGATTTAGTAAGAAAAATTATAAATGATAAAAAAAATGCCTAAATCTTAAAATAAATTATTTAAAATTATTTAAATTTTGACCAAACGATTAAATCACAATTATATGTTACGTTTTATAATCAAAAATACATAAAATGTTCACATTTTACATATTTTTACATTACGTTTTGAAAACTGGATACAAGATTTTACGTTTTATTTTTTATTTTATGGCTAAAAAAAATGAATGAAAATTCAAAAAAATGTTCTTGAAATTGATTAGTTTCATGAATTTCCATTAAGCAATATTAGCTATTTAGTAATTGATATTTGATAGTTTTTTCGAATTGTTTTAATGGCGTTTATACTGTTTATAGAAACTTGAAGTTTTTAATTTTTCTAAATTTTAGATTCTTTTTTTTGTAAAAATTAAAACATTAAAACTAATCTTATTAAAAAATTTTTTTTTCTATTAAATCAACTATCTTTAAAAATATTAACTGATCCACCTGATTTTTTTACTCAGAATTCTTTTTTTCATGAGTAATTATATATCAGATTCATGTTTAAAAGACTAATATAGTTATATCATGGTCCAACCTTTGAGTTTCACTCTTTTTTACTTTATTTTATTTCATATTTAAAACTTTTGTAAGCAAAATATTTCTTCTGTTAAATATAAATACATAAGACAGCGTTGATAGAGAAAGCTGGAAAAAAGTAGTAGAGGCAGCGAAAGTCCGTCAAGGACCGTAAAAGCTATAGAAGAAGAAATATACATGCTTATATAACTGCTATTACAGAAAAAAATATATTCATAAAAAAATTATTTCATTCCAATTAATGATATAATTTATTCAAAAAAAAAAATTTTTTTAATTAGTCTATTTTCGACATTATTGATGAAATAATATTCATTGTCATGAACATGGAAGTCAAATTAAATTTTACTTTATAATAGATATAATTGTGAAAACTACTTGTATATTTTATGACCAGATTGCCTACAAAATATTTTAAATTTATTTATAAGTGTTTGATCAATGTAGAAATAAAATAACAGTATTTTCTCACAGAACTAAATATTGAGTAATAATATTATTAATTTTAGTTAGTCATTAAGTTGTTTAGTTAAACTTAACGAAGAAGAAATATTTAGAAAGAAACAACTGATAATTTAATTATATGATTTTAAATTATATATATGTTTTTAATCATCTGTTGTATTATTTTATTATGAGATTGTAATTGTTTAATCTTTATGTTGATATTTTTCAGAGAGAGACTTATAGATGCATACGAAAATAATTTTTGGGATGGTGCATTAAAAACTGTTTCAGCCTTATGGGATGCACATGGTTGGATTTGGCATGGTAATACTTGAAATACCTTTCCCAAATAATTAATTTTTTAAATTTATTTGTTATTTTTAAGGATATGAAGTAAATGGCCTAGAAAATGTACCTATTGACAGCCCAGCTTTATTAGTATATTATCATGGTGCTATTCCTATTGATATATATTATTTGATTTCTAGAATATATTTAATCAAAGCCAAACTAGTTCATACTGTAGCTGATCATTTTCTGTTTAAATTACCTGGTAAGCATTGTAAATTATGGTTAAAATTAATGAAAATTTAATTTCTAAATATTTTTCTAGGCTGGTCAATAATATCTGAACCATTAAAAGTGATACCTGGAACTGTACAGACTTGTTCAGATATATTAAAAGAAAATAATCTATTGGCAATTTCACCAGGTGGTGTTTATGAAGCTCAATTTGGTGATAGGTATTATAGGCTCATGTGGAAAAAGCGATTTGGTTTTGCTAAAGTAGCTATTGATGCTAAAGTAGTAAGTTTTTATGTTAATTTTATTAATAAATATTTTTTAAATTTATTCTTTAAATTTTTCTATTCAATGGTTTATTAGCCTATAATACCAATATTTACTCAAAATATTCGAGAAGCATTTCGTTGTATTGGCATTGGTCGTAGATTCTGGTTGCGAATTTACTTATGGACTAGATTGCCAATTGTACCAATATATGGTGGTTTTCCAGTTAAACTTAGAACTCATATTGGTAAACCAATTCCATATGATCCTAATTTATCAGCAGAAGACTTACAGAAAAAGGTAATTACTTGTGTAATAAAAAGGATTAGTTTAATTATTATTTTATGAAATAAGTTTTTACATTTTTAATGTTAACTAATGAATATAGCAACTAACTATATCATTATTTATTTTAATTAATTTTATAATTAATTTATCTTAATTTTATGCTTGCTATTGCAAGTATATATATATATACTATATATAGTAATTCATTGTTATGTTTACAATTAAGCCTAATAACCTTACCTAATATAGGCTATAAAAATAACTTACTTTATGATATTTTAATTGTTGCTAAAACTTTTAAAATTCTGCTGCACTTGGAGTTGCATAAAACAATTATTTATTAGTTTAATATTTCCAAACATTTTAAAATATTGTATTATATTCTTAAATATTATCTTACTCTTAAAATTAGCTATTTTATAATAAATATGAAAAATCATAAAAATTTGACCTTCATATATGACTAACACAATAATATAACAAAGGACTTATATTCAGAATCTGATAAATATGGGTTTTTTGTTTTAGGTGGCTAGTGCAATAGAAGAATTAATTTGTCAGCACCAAAAAGTACCTGGTAATATATTGAGAGCTCTATTTGAACGTGTTTATAATCCATTAGGCTGTAGTAAGAAAAATACATGACATTATGTTTTACTTTCTAGTGATGGGAAAGTATAAATGTTGTAAGTTTATTTTTTTTTGTTTCTGCATTTAGACTTTGTGTATGACTTATTTATAACAATTGTAATTGAATTCTCTCTATATTTAAATAAATAGAGCCACAACTTTTTTATTTTAATTTTAATGTAAAACAAAATATTAATCTTTATAGTTTATTATTATTATTATTATTATTATTATTATTGCTATTTTTATTATTCTTATTATTGAAATTATAATTTTAAATTTTTTAAATAATATTTGTACTTATTTCATTACCATTTTTATAATAATCTTCAAACTTTTCATATTTAAATTTATTATCTTTGCAAAATATTAGCACTTGTTTAAGGAGTTAAATCCTGGTCACATATTTTATTTTTTTTTGCATTTATTACAGTTTAATCTTATTTGTTTAATTTTATGGTAGTAAAATATATTTTTTGGTTATATTTAATTTGTCTTCAAAATACAATGACCAAACACATTTTAGCAAATATTATTTTCTTATAATGTATATTCAATGGCTGTTTTCTTCAAGGCTTAGAATATAATTGTCTATAATGATTATTGTTGTTCTAGTGAATAATAATTTTTTTATCATTAGTTTGTGTTCAATAATTATTATACTTTTATGTGATAAAAAATGTTCACATATTATTAAAATGATTACACTTATGATTTACGTTAAACTTGATTTTTATTTATTGTTATTTTGGCTGTACACATTATATTTTTTTTTTAATTTACCAAAACGATGTGCTAATAAATATATAATTTTATATTTTAGTTAAAACTCCTTTGTGATATATTTTTTAATGATTATTATGTTTAAATTATTTAAATAAAATAAAATTATATTTATTTTTATGATATATTTATAGTTAAAATTTAATATATTTAGTGCATATTTGTATACCATTATAAAGTATGACATATAAATGTTGTTTTTTCCTGCTGTGCAAAATAATAGTTAGATAAATAACAATATAATAATAATAATAGATAAAGTCTGATGAAATGTTCACAACTTTAAAAGTTAAAGAAAATGTATTTGTTTATTACATAAAATATAAGCATATTTTGTAGTACAAATTTTAAATACGTAATTGTAAAATATTCTGTTTTGATTGAAAATTTTTAAATAATTACAACAATTTAAATACTTTAATTAGAATATGGATAAATAATGTAAAATTTTTAAATTTATTCTAATTAATAATTTTATACCTACTTATATAATATTAAATTTAAAAATATACTAATATGTAACAAATAATTTTTTATTGTTTATTTAAAATAGACTACTTATAATATAAATTAATTAATTAATTTATATTTCTTAATTGCTAGGTTACTTATTACCTGGATTCAAGACTGAAGTTCTAAAGTGCATTTAAATATGTAAAAATAGAACAAAATTCTTTAGTCGGATGAGATTCAGGGATGGGTGAATAATATTGCTGTGTTGGTCTTTTGAATTTGAAATCAATGTATAATTATTTATATATTGTAATACATTGCTCTCGAAAAAATTATTCTGAATGAATGAGCTGGTCAGTTTATATTTTTAAAGATAGTTTATATAGTAGAAGAATCAAATTTCTTAATGAGGTAGGTTAAACTTATAATATTTTAACGTTTGTGTCTAAAATTTCAATAGATCTGAAAACGTATAATGTAAAAGCAAAAGAGTTAAAATATTATTTAGGGGGAACAATTTTACGTTTTCTTGCTAAAACAATTTTTGGGTCCATTCCTCCCCTTTGCTATCTCTGACGTCACTAATGTAAATATTACTATATTAAACATTTTTACAGATATACCGTAAATATATTATATTAACACTACTTCTCAGTGGCGGCTCGTCAGAGGTCTTTGAGATGGCGACTCCCCATAAAAAAAAGTAGTAACACAATAAAAAAGTTTGAAAAAAATTATATTATAATCAGTGCTCGAATTGGGGGGGGGGGGGGGGGGGCGGAGCTCCTCTACTATTTTTTTTTTTTTTGCGTACCCCAACTATATTTTTTTACCAGAACGGGGGGACGCCACGTTCACCCTAGTTTATTTCCAAAATAATTTTTATTAAGATGTGGATTTCAATTGACAAATTTGAAAACGAATTTTATGATTTATTATATCAAAACTATTTTCATAATTAAAGATTATATGGTGGTTATGATAAGGGACAACGTCGTCATTTCTGTAAAAATATAAATAGCAATGACTGTGAATTCGGTGTATATACTTTATACATTGTACGGTTTGTTATTAATATTGGCGGTCGATGAAATCGGCATTTCGGAAAAAAATAAATGCTCGCACCACGACTAATCTTCGGCCGTGTCCCGCACTAAAGAGTAAAAATAGATAAAAACAAAAATCAAATATATGATTATATCATTCGATTCATGAAACTGCCTGATCGCCTACAATTATGTTAATTATTATTTTATTTTTATTTTCTATTGTAACATGTAGGATGTTGGTATTGCTATCAAAATATATTATATTTGGAATTAAAATATTTGTTTAGCTGAAATGTGGTATTCAAAATGTATGTAAGGTTGGCGGAGGGTAGGGGTGAGGGACGAAGCTCCCTGCGGGTCTGTGTTAAATAATTGCACACGTGGAACGCAGTTTTCAAATCTTTGGACTGAGCTCCTCTACTTAATTTTTCCGAATTCGAGCACTGATTATAATTTAATATTTTTATCCATTTTGAAAAGAATTATTATGGTTTTCGATAATATAATATTTTATATTCTATTTTTACATTAATAATGAGAAGACTGGTGTTATTCAATAACAATACGGGCGAAATATATCGATAACGATGACGGTGGCTAGTTCGGGAGACTCAATTGTGTATATAAATTGCATATGCACGACAAGGCGGAGGACGGGGATAGATTGTATAGATGTTATTCAGTACATTGAGACTAGACTCATTCAAAGTTTCTGCCGTTCGCATCGTGGTCGTCACATATTTTTCTGTGAACACGAAAACTGTAGCGGGTCGTGCGTCCGTATTAGACCATTTAATTTAACTATTCGACATTGTATCACCCTGTGTAGTAATTTTATTATTATAATTTATTATTGGTATCATACACAAGTCACAAACATTAATCATTATAATATAATAAATTACATTAGAAATATAATATATCTTAATTATATTTTCTACTATGGAAATACAGAAAAAAACAGATATACTAAACTTTTTGTTTAAAAATAGTTTTAATACGTTAACATACGAAGAAAAGTGTCAATTAAAATCAAACAGACCGACACCTAACATCACATTGGAATATAAAGAAGGTAAATTCATTAGAAAATTTCAGTATAGTTGGTATAATAAATTTCCTTGGCTAACTGCTTGTGATAATAAAGCCGTAACTGGGGGGTCCAGGGGTCTGGATCCCCCGAAATTTTTAAAAGTAGGAACATTTTAGCGGTGAATATAGTTTTCCCAAATGCAAGTTGATTAAGTTATTAAAACAATACCTTAATATGTTTAAAAAAAATCGTTTGCGTAATGAATTGTTCGTTATTTATTCAGACAACAATAAACATCTTCCTACTCATAAACTACTGAATTTAATAATAAAAATAATTTACAAGAAATTTATTCCCAGTTTGCTAAACCATTCAATTAGTCTTAACAATACCGGTCACTACTGCATCTAATGAACGTTCCATGAGTACGTTAAAGCGCATAAAGAGCTTTTTGAGAAACACAATGACAAACGAGTGACTTAAAATTTATCATCTTTGGCAACTGAAAAAAATTTACTAGGCGTTATGGCAAAGGATCCGACATTTGTGGAAAGTATTATTGATGATTTTGCGAAGAAAAAAAAAAGAAAGAATTGAATTAGAATATAAAATAATATAAATTATCTGTTCTTATAATTATAAAGATGTTACAATTATAATAATAAAAAAGGTTTTTTGTAATTTTTGTATTAATTTTTTTTTACTATTAAATGTTCAATATCCCCAATGAATTAACTTGCGAGCCGCCACTCCTACTACTATTACTAGACATTGGTTTTTAACTATTATAATTATATATTTTATTTATTAATAATTACGTTTACTCGCGATGGTTGGAACTTATAGGATATAATATTTGAACATAAAATAAGGTATATAAACTTAGATTATGCGTTACATTTAAACAGTATTACGTGACGTCTGGCTAGTCTCCTCCACCCGGCTATTCGACCATGAAATCGTAAAAAATCGGCTAACGTATACAATACCTACTATTTTCTTATATCAACGAGACTCACCGCGAACGAAAAATATATAATTATACTAGGTATGTCTATATAAGTATAAACATATAGTACCAGCAGCAGCCTTCACTGTTTGTTGCATTTTCTATGCTTGGTTTTAACACCTGTGGTTCAGAAGTCCCCTTCTATTTTCTGCAGTTGCCATTAGTGTCTTGATACTCATGGTAATGCATCGTAAACATTTTTCTGTGTATTATATTATTATTATTAGTATTTCATTTCATTTTACCTTAACATAAGCAAAGCACACTTCACTGGCACACATTTTTACTCAAAGATAGTCACGCGTCTGTTTACATAGGCACTCGTATGTATAATACTCGTATTACAGTCGCAGTAGACGTTATTAGAGTATAAAAATATTGTTCTATTCGGTGATTTAACTATACATTTGCATATGTAATATGTATACACAGGAGTAATGTCATGTCACGCGGTTTTAACATACAGAGATGGCAGCGGTTGGATTGGCTGACGTCATGAAAAAATAAGTGATACCGTACAGTAGTGGGGGCTAATAATGTGGCTTAACTCGAAATAATTATAAACATAAAAATATGCATTTTTCGTTATTTTAGAATAATCATCTTATAAATCGACAAAATATTTTTGTTTTGTTTTGTTTTTTATTTGTTTTCAATTAATATTTTCTCTACGAAATAAAAACAAGTTGCCTATTTATGAATATTTAATTAGGTATGAAGTTTGTTCAAAGGTTGCATAATCTAATATAAGCAGAAACTTATTATAAATATTATTATAGTGCAATATTATACATTAGGTACCTTCGAGCCCGGATTAACACTATCGTCGGCCCTAGGCTCC